TTTTTTTTTTTTTTTTTTTTTTTTTTTTTTTTTTTATTTAGCTGAACGGTTAACACGTTTATTGTTAATTCAAGAGCACTTAATCGTCATGTGCGTGTAAGTACTATATACCGTCGAGTACTTTTAGACATTTTGAGATATCGAAAATCTTATATCTTCTAATAAAACGTATATAAAGTATGTAGCCAAGGGTGTTGATTCGCGATTGGACAAATGCGTCTCGCAACGAGTTGAGAAACAAGAAAGTGAAGGAAAAATCTTTGATTGACGCGACATTGTACTATGATAAAGTCTTTAATAAGAGATACATCGGCACCCCCTGGCGCTTTCTCCGCAACACGTCTACACCAAATATTTCTACACGAGAGTTTCCAAAATATCATCGTTAGGAAGGAATTGTTGCTGGGCCACGGAGGAATATTCCATGTCGATCGGTTTGGTGTTGTCACGAAGGGCCGGTGCCTCGCAGAGAATGATGAACGTGCCAACGATCGAAGCTATAGTGAAGATCCATAGGAAAAGTCTGTCGAGAACCATGGCTACGAAACCCCAATCCTGATCTTCCTGTCCAAATTGGATGTTCAAAATTCGTGAAATTACGTGATAAACGTCGCAAAACATCTCCCCAACACTTTCATCCACGCTTTCATTCGAAAACACCATACATACCGCGTTGAACTCGTCTTGCCGTTGTATGTGGTGCTGAATGAACATCACGTTGTGCAAAGCTTTCTCGAGCTCGAAAGGATATTTCTTCCTTGGCGTTACGTCGCTCAGGGACTCGTCCAACCCGGACATCACCGTGGGAAGTCCATTGTATCCACCGATCCCTCCCAAAAATCTGTTATGCGCGGTCGTCGTGTGCAGTCCGTTGCATCCTGAAACCGTTGCGTCGTTACACCCCTCCCCCTCCCCCAACGCGCATATATATATATATTTCTTTTCAATCATAAGAATGGAATACGCACGACACTCACCGCCGATTCGTTGATGACGAGCGGAATCAGGGGACGAGACTATGGAGGAGGATTGCACGGCTGCAGCGACAGCGGCGTTGAATTTGCTCTTCTTCCCGGACCTTCCTCTACCGTGCATCTTATGAGCGGCAAGATCGTTCAACAGATCGTCGGGCACCCTCATTAAAAGAAGTTTGGGTAATCTCCTTATGAAAATCTTCCTCACCCAAGGGGCCATTTTATGGGTGCTCGGCTTGCGGTAATGAACGTTCAATATTACGATCGTTATAACTACCGAGAGGCCGACGAGGATCATGGTGAACAGCAAGTATTTGCCGAGCAAAGGCAACGCCAACGAGGTGGATGGTATGATCTCCGATATTAAGAGGAAGAACATTGTTTGAGATAGTAGGATGTTGATGCAGAGGGCGATTTTCTCGCCGGAGTCCGCGGGCAAGTAGAACGCGAGCACCGACAAATACGAGATGCTCACACATGGGACGATCAAATTCACCGTGTAGAACAACGTTTTTCGGCGTAGAGTGATGTTGAAGAAGATGTCGGGATAGGGCTCGTCGCAACACGGGTAATATTTCTTGTGCCGTTCGGCTGGAACCCCCAGTATGTCCCACTCGACGCTAGGGTAGTACTCGCGAAGATCGATCCCGATCTCCACTTTGTCTCCCATGTTTTGATTGATGTGTTTCAAGTCGATCTGAGCAGCGATTCGAACAGATCAGGATTCAGGGATCGATTTCGATT